GAATTTTTACATCGGACGTCTCCGCGGGAAAACACTAACGTGGACCATCCCAGACGACCGAACAGGTACGTCAGAATTCGCGCGTCAGAATTTTTACATCGGACGTCTCCGCGGGAAAACACTAACGTGGACCATCGCAGACGCGAGAGTCGAGTCCGCAGCCGAAAAGTTTTATGGGAGTGGTTAGATAATTTGGAGGCAAAAGCTGCCTACCACCATGCAGGAGAGGATAAACAGTGCTATCTACCACAATTCTACTTGCGGATGTTCTGTTTGCACTGATCCTAGATGTAACTTTTCCTTCGGAGCACTCCCAAGAGCCATGCAAACATTCCACCTAGCATCAGAATTGCAGGTTAAACCAGCAGGCCGTCTTTTGGTTAGCACCACCAGCCATTTTGCTCTGGTAGGCCCAACCTACTCATAACTCAGGGCGTGTTAATACAAACTCGGTGTGTTAACGCGAACTTAACGGCTGCATCGGAGAAAAATGGCTTGGCCAGGCACTGGTGGTTCAACTTGCAAAAGACAATACGGTGATGGTTAGCAGAAGAGTTGTTACACCACCACTACCATTGTTTTGTTTTGTTTTGTTTCACGGGTGGCACGTAACTGTCTCACTGCTGTAGCATCATGTATCCGCCCTCAATCACAGGATAAGGGATTCCTTTTTTTTTTGTCGTTGCTTCCAAGGCTGAACTTCCGGTCCCACCGGGGCCCCCTTCCCCCACCGGAACCGGTCCGGTAGTACCGGCCACTGGACCGTGCCGGTTCCCCCCCGGTGGCATTTCGCGCAAGTGGATCAAGGGGGGGGTTGAATTTTTTTTGGGGCCGGGAGGCCTCCATGCGGGTCATGGAGGCCTCCCGGCCCCGAAAAAAAAAAAAACGGGGACCCGTAGGCCCGCCAGAAAGCTCAAAAACTGGCGGCCTATCTGGGCCGTCGATCTCGTGAGATCTGCGGCCCAGATAGGCCGCAGTTTTTGAACATTCGGGGGGGAAACCGCCCGAAGTTCAACTTGCCGAACTGCCACCAACGATCGGCTCCGCCACCCCGTCTCCAGCCTCCAGCCAGCCTCCAGCCTCCAACCCGTCACTTCGACACTTCGTCGAAAGTGAACGAGGTTGCGACTGCGTTGCA